ACTACTTGGGTGATGCAATTGTTTGTTATGTCAATGATGATATCAAATGTATCACATAATAATCATGACCATCATGATGGATGGAGGCATTCACATACAAGGATAAAATCAATTTTTATATAAAATAAATTGTTGCGTCATTTTGATTTGATTAATATTAATCTCTGCTTAAATTTTTGACAAATAAATTAACTGGTTAAGTCCTTAGTTAATCGGTTCCAATCTCTGCCCCATATGGCAAAGGAACAACTATAGGAAGAAAATGCGAAAGTGAAGAGACTCCTGGTAATAAAAGAGAAGAAGAGTCCAGTTCATCAGAATATGAGGCCGAGAAAAAAAACAAATTATTGGAAGCATTCTTAAATCTTCAAAAATTTGGAAAGTTCAGATTTATTTATAAAAATGAATTTGATCAATTAAAACGCATTATCGATATTTAGAAGATGAATTGGATGGAAGTATCATATTGGAATCGTTAAGTCAAACTTCACTATAATGATTAAATACAATAATTTTTGAAATGCCAATTAATATTTCTAATAGATTGCTGGAGAATCTAATGGTCGGTCGGAAAGGGCCTAAACCTTTCACATTAAAAAATTACTTAACAAAATCTGGGATTTCAAATTATTGATTGTTTTGTTTATCTTTAACAGTCAACAATCATATTAATATAATCCCACGTACACAAAAAATAAAAATCGAATTCCTTTATACTTGAAAATTTTCTTTTCAAACAGATTTTTCATTCTAAGAGAACTTTTTCAACGAATGTGATATTATTATTATGTGGTGAGAAATTTTAGTGCCAAATTTTGAATCTTACATAAGATTAATAAGCGTCCATAGACAAAATAAAGAAAAAAAAAACCAATATCAAGTGAAATAATGAAGAATAATAATTAACATCACATGAAATTACAGAGAATGTGACCATACGTCATAATTGACCATAGAGACAAATGTGAAATAGTCTGCTGTATTTTTCAAATCGATAGACTATTCATTCAAAAGCAAAAATTTCGGAAGTATCTATTAAAAGAACATTTTTTTGGTTTGATAGAAACAATCTAAGCAAGAACCATGGGTTTGGTAGAAATATCAATCATTAGATAGTTTAACGCTCATAACCCATAACCCTGTGTTCTGATTATAACACGTATTTCTAAACTTTTGTAAAAAAAAAAAAAAGCATAAATTTTAAGCTACATATAAATTTAATGGGAACGTGCATAATAAATTTATCGCAATAAAACGTTCGGTTCACTAGTAAAACTGGTGGTTTGTGAACCAACCCACACCGTTCCAATCCCTAATCGCAGTCGATATCTTTAGCAGTCAAATCTTGTTCAATAAATTTACGGACAGACACATAAGAAAATTGCATTTAAAATCGATATACCAAAATTTTATATGTGATGCAAATTTTTTAGATATAATTCGTTGAAAGGAGGTTTGACTGTACATTTAATATTAATATTCCTTAATTGTTAAGAGACAATAGTAGGTATGAAACGTAATTAGTGTTTTGACTTATGATGCCAGGTTTTTTCCTTTGACATAACATCGTTGACATCCTCTTTTCATACAAAAAACATCATATTCGCCCACCGTATCACGATCAAACAACAAAGTATCAAATTCGCAGCGGGAATGACTTGATGCCTTTCAATCCTTTATTGTTCCATCTTCTTGCGGCAGCTAATATCTGATGCATCAAGAGAATGGAAAAAAAATTACACGACGTACATATACTTATAATCTTTCTGATGATTGGCGTACCATTTTCAAATAATCACCCCTATGTGCCATTCTGATATGCCAGATTCCCGTTCAAAAGCTGGCAAAGTAACAGTATTGTGAATACTGATATCGAAGCTAACATTTTTAATTCCAGTGGTGTTGGTCGCCAAAACTATTTTGAAGAGACGAAAATCAAAACTAAAATTAAAAGTTATATGTCAAAACTAAACCAAAAGCCAATAGTCAAAAATCAAAACTAGTTTCGACTTATGGAGAAACCTTTTGACTTTCACACGGTTCCGAAACTCTCTAGTTTTGGAAACCAACACTAAATTCCAAGAACCGATACTAATACTTAAACTTCTGCCAGAATCTAAACTTTTGCTAAAATTGGATGATCTGGTTTTTTTTTAAAATTTATATGATAAAATGATAAAAATCTGTCCGTGTCCATGTCCGTCACTTTAAATGTCCCGGACCATTCTTGGACAAAAATATAAATTTTTGTCTACTACCTCTTTCTTAAAGCTTTGGTGAATCCGTAAACACTTTATAGTACAATTAGCAAAGCAATAAAGCTCCTCTAGAGTTCCTTTTATTTGCTTTACTTTTACTTTCTTTGGCCAATTGAAGTCAGCTGTATGTATGCAACAATTACTTTAGAATAAAATAATTCAATATGTGATAATGACTTGTATAGGTGATCAATTAACAAAAAAATAAACAAAAACATTTACACTTAACAAAAACCAAAAAATTAAACCTTTGCTTTCTTTCTAAAACAAATATCTAAAAAAAAAATCTTTGCCTTAACCACTCTGATAACCAAATGGAGGTTAAACCCTACTGTTTAATTTTCGACCATAAAAGTGTTTTATTAAACAAAAAAAGAATTAATTTGTTTATGAAAATGGTTATTAAAATGAATTATTTGTAAAAAAATAATTTTATATTAACTTTCTGCCTCTACTCTAAAGCAAGGCTCTGGATTATTAATATAGAATCATTTAATTAAATAAATGCCGAATTATTCGATCTTTTTGTTTGGAACCCATTTTTTCTTCCCTTCCTCCCCTCCTAATTTTTCAACGCATGTTTACAAAACGGTTTTGAATTGCTTTTAGATATTTTGGTGTTTATTATGCAATAATTCTTGGAGTGGCACAAAGTGTCTTTTCATTTTTGTTGATATTGTTTTTAATTATTTTGAGTTTTTCACATGCATTACACATAGCATTAAGGCCAACTGGAGAATATGGTTTAGATGCACCTGCTATCAATGATGATCCCAACAATCCTTGGAATCTTGTTGATAGTTATGCCATATTTACAAATAATATATATGATCCCACTTCATATTTTGTGAAAAAGCCTGATGATACAGTCAACATGTTTGCCAATTTTCCTACTTCAATGCTGGCAATGTATAATTTCCTTACAGGTAAATAAACAAGTTTTTTTTAATGATAATAATAATATATAATTTTTTCTTAATAAAAAATATGTATTATTATTATAGGTGACAGTAGTGCACTTGGAGCTTGGTCACCTGTAGAAAATTATTATCTAGCCATATTAGTAGTGACATTTTCATTCATAGTAGTTGTATATTTGATGAATTTATTTATTGGCTTGCTTAGTAATGAAATTGAAAAAAATAACACAGAAGAAGCATTCTTGGCTGAGAGAGCAAAAGTTATCAGAGAGATGGAATTATTTTATTTATTACCCAATCAACGTCGATGGAGAGATTGGTTCCCAGATATTTTGTAAATATAGTACAAGTTTATATACAATTATAATTTATCTTTGAATTTGCTTGAAAAATTAATTTAATTTTTTTTTTTGTTTTATTAGATGTTATTCAGTTCCAATTGAAGATATCCAGAAAAAAATTAAAGAAATGGATGATTCAGAACATGCAACATTTATTTCTGGGAAAGTCAGAGATCTTGTTGAAGCTCCTGAAAAATGTGATTTGGACCAAGTCAAAGATAAAATTGAAGAAATTGAAAAACATATGAATAACAAGCTTGAAAAAATATTAGCTGAATTAAAATCAAACAATAAATAATTGTAATATTAGGGTATTTGGATGAGAAATTCCGATTTGTATTTGTATATTGACATTAAATAAAGGAAATAGATTTTATTTATATTTTTAAAATTAGAATAATTAAAGAAGTTGTTATCAATGAATTTCCCCCAAACATATACAAATTTTTATCATTTTATCATCAACATATGGGGGCTGTTCTAGGAAAAAGTGGGTTTCTTCAGATTTTTTGTTTTTGAGATATTCATAAAAACAAAAAGCA